TAAAATATGTTGACATGAGGAGGAACGTATTTACTAGTTATATCATCTGCAATCGCCTGAATCTCAAGACGTTCTTCGAACCAATCATAGACTTTATTGAGATAGGTAAACCAAGAGGACTCCCCCTCCAAGAACCGTATATGAGAATTTCATCTCGTACAGCTCAAACAAAAACACCCCAATACTGGTTGAAACGGATATGTAATAGAAAGTTCGAAACTTCTTAATTCTCTCATTCAATATTATCTAAAGAATAAAAATCCGAAAGTTCTTTTTTTTTGTGGTTAAATGCCAAAAAGTCAAGTCGGCTCATTCGTCTTTATCTTGTGTTGATCGTTACAGGCCTCTTGAATCTTCTATATTACCTATTTGAGTTCTTTTTTTGATTTGGTATTTGTATGTAATGTGGCTTTATTCTTGTTTTCTTTATTATTGATAGGAATTCTCTTGTTAAGACCCTACGAATCAATTGAAACCTCAGATTCATACTAGAACCACGATGATTCAATAAAACCTTCAATTCAAAGTCCAAAGATTCCCTGAGTAAGAACCCTTGGATGATCACTTATTCAATGAATAGAATAGATATAATGACTAAAAAAAGAAAATACAAAGAAGCGTTTGTCCTTTGATCAAAATATGCATAAACAAGAGTTTAAAAGAAGAAAAATCTTTCGATTTAGAATAAATATATAACTTTTTCTTTGGAAAAGAGTCCGGTTACGAGGTCTGAATATTAAGTACGAATCATAGTCCGAATACTTCGTGATCTATTTCATATATTCCGTGCTCCAGATACTAGAATGAATATCTGACGAGGTAAAACCATCTTTATCAAGATGACAGACCCATTCTCTGTAGTCTCAATAGGATCAATTATAACAAGTCACACACTCATATTCCGGAAATACAATACAGAAAGAAAGAAATTTCACGGTCGAACTACCAAAACAGAATAGGCTAAAAATCCGAGACCTAAATGCTTCACTTCACTTTTTGTATTGAAAAGGCTAGGACTTCGTGGTTCTTGTGAGTCTAATTCATTGAAATTCCGTCAAGTAAAACGGAAGAATTATAAATCTCCAAAATAATGGATAGGAATACTGCAAATAGAGCCATTGCAACACCCATCAAAGGAGTCGTTCCCCATCCAGGAGCTACTTTACCATATTCTGAATTCAATGGTTTCAATAAATCCCCTACAACAGTTCGTCTTGGACCAGATCTAGAACTATCCTCAACGGTTTGTGTAGCCATAAATCTTATTTTGTATTCATTGAGATCTGTTGACTTTGTATACCATTCCGTTGTAAATAAACGATCTTAGCATAGATCCATTGTGGTCTTGAAATTATATAATAATGGAAACAGCAACCCTAGTCGCCATCTCTATATCTGGGTTACTTGTAAGTTTTACGGGGTACGCCCTATATACTGCCTTTGGGCAACCCTCTCAACAACTAAGAGATCCGTTCGAAGAACACGGGGACTAGTTGAAGTAATCAGCCTCCCAATATTGGGAGGCTGATTACTTCAATTAAGATAATGAAAAATCATTTTGTTTTTTTAGTTGGAACTTTAGGTGGTTCCCGAAAAAAGATAGCGAAAAAAATGATCCCTAAAGTCGATACTAAGAGGAATGTATAAACCAATGCTTCCATAAATTCGATCGTGGTTTACAATTATAGCTTCCATACCTGTTTTGTTTATTTGGGATGATCCCCCGGATAAAGAAAGAACAAGAGTCAAAGAAAAGGCAGCGATTTAAATCAAGATTTCTCCAGTACCTATGTCAAATCGCAAACAGAAAATAGAAGCGAAAAGTAACGAAGCAGTGTTGCATCAGACTACTTGTCTTCTTGTAGTTGGATCTCCAAGTTTTTGGAATGCTCCAAATTCCACCTGAGCATCCAAATCTGGATCAATACCAGCAAAAACATCTCTGAACAGGGTTCTAGCACCATGCCAAATGTGTCCGAAGAAGAAGAGCAGAGCAAACGAAGCATGCCCAAAAGTAAACCAACCTCTTGGACTGCTACGAAAAACACCGTCGGATTTCAAAGTAGCACGATCTAATTCAAAAATTTCACCCAATTGAGCGCGTCTAGCATATTTTTTGACAGTCGCGGGATCGCTATAACTCACTCCATTAAGTTCGCCGCCATAGAACTCAACAGTTACGCCTACTTGTTCAACACTATATTTCGATTCTGCCCTTCTAAAAGGAACATCGGCTCTAACAATTCCATCTCCGTCTACCAAAACAACCGGAAATGTTTCAAAAAAAGTAGGCATACGACGTACAAAAAGTTCACGCCCTTCTTTATCTCTAAAGATAGGGTGTCCTAACCACCCAACAGCTATTCCATCCCCGTTGTCCATTGAACCCGCTCTGAATAATCCCCCTTTCGCCGGATTATTGCCGATGTAATCATAAAAAGCTAATTTTTCAGGAATTTTAGACCAAGCTTCTGATAAACTTTGATTTTCGGCTAGCCCAGCACTAACTCTTCGATATATTTCTTGCTGGAAGTATCCCTGATCCCATTGATAACGAGTAGGACCAAATAATTCGATGGGGGTAGTTGCTGAACCATACCACATAGTTCCAGCAACAACAAAAGCTGCAAAAAAGACAGCAGCGATACTACTGGAAAGGACGGTTTCAATATTTCCCATACGTAATCCTTTGTATAGACGTTGGGGCGGACGGACACTAAGATGGAATAAGCCCGCTAATATGCCCAATGTCCCTGCTGCAATATGATGAGAGGCTATTCCTCCTGGAACAAAAGGATCAAAACCTTCTACGCCCCACGCTGGATTTACAGGTTGTACCTTTCCGGTTAGTCCATAAGGGTCGGACACCCATATTCCAGGACCATATAATCCTGTTACATGAAATGCGCCAAACCCAAAACAAGCCACTCCTGAAAGAAATAAATGAATTCCAAAGATCTTGGGCAAATCCAAAGAAGGTTTTCCTGTACGTTCATCACAAAATATTTCTAGATCCCAATACACCCAATGCCAGATAGCTGCCAAGAAGCACAAGCCAGAAAACACGATATGCGCTCCGGCTACACCTTCGTAACTCCAAAGACCCGGATTCGTTATAGTCCCTCCTGTAATACTCCAACCGCCCCATGAATTAGTTATTCCTAAACGAGTCATGAAGGGTATAACGAACATACCTTGTCTCCACATTGGATCAAGAACGGGGTCAGAGGGATCAAAAACTGCTAATTCATATAGAGCCATAGAACCGGCCCAACCAGCAACTAAAGCTGTATGCATTATATGAACAGAAAGTAAACGGCCGGGATCATTCAATACGACGGTATGAACACGATACCAAGGCAAACCCATGGAAATACCCCTTTATCAACGAAAAATAGACACGATGTAACTTTATTGCATTGGAAAAAAACTATGCTATCGCCCTCCTCCCTTTCAGTGTATTATTACGGAGAAAGGATTAATATTTGTTCTATTCTTTTAGTAATAATGGAACAATTCGGTTGATAGGAAAAAAGAGAAGCAGATCTATTCTATATCCGATAAGTACCAAGACGCAATGGGGGTTAACCTTAAGCCTATTTTCTATGAACGAACGTATCCATATTTGTTCATCATTCAAAGGACCTATTCGTAAAAATTTTCCTTTATTTTTATTCATTCTGTCTTTCTTTACCTTTATTTATTTTATTTTCTATTTTATGACCTTATTCAATCTATGTATAAAATAGAATAAATAATAAATAAAGTATGATAAAGGCCAATATTATTATATTAAGACAATAAACCCATTGTTACGCTTCCACATCAAAGTGAAATAGAGTACTTAATTCTTTTTTCTTTCATTTAATGCCTATTGGTGTTCCAAAAGTGCCTTTTCGAAGTCCTGGAGAGGAAGATGCATCTTGGGTTGACGTATAGTGCGACTTGTAAGATATATTGGGCCATATGGGATTTCCCCATTCTCTCTCCCGATCGAGATATCCTCTGTTTCGCCCAAAAAAATTGATTGAATTGTCAAGAATTTGTAGCGTGAAGTGCAATGAAGTGGAATTAGATCCATTTTTTGGGGGGGTATTCAGATTAATATTATCAATTAGAATGATTTATGGTTGACTTGGTTGGACCAATAAAATGAAGTATCCAGGCTCCGTTTAGCAAAAACCAAATTGGTAATATATCGATGATTACCACTTATATCATAAATGACTCTATTTAGAAATAAATTCTAAATAGGAGCGATCTCAACTGTTAATCAGTCGAATAAGAATAATATGATTAATACGTTGAATATTTGATGGAAGACATGAAAGAAATGAATTGAAAAAAAAAGGAAGTCGTAGAAAAAGACGCGGTATTTGGTTGATTTGTCCTATATGTGCAAATCTAAATCGGGCAGATCTTTACTCGGAGTAGAGCCTAAACCTAAATTGAATAAAAAATGGAAGAAGCCCATTCAGGAACAAGAAAACGCATCGCGATTTGGATTTTATCTCGATGAAAAAAAACATCAATGAGAAGTTAGTCCGATAAGCTTAGTTAATTTTTTTTATATTATAGGATTATAGGAAAAGGGCCAAAACTCATCTTTCTTTAAAAACGGAAGAAAAAAGGCTCTTTCTTAGAAGTTATAAAAAGTCTGCTATGAAATATGAAAAAAGCAAGAGGGCTGGAATCTACGCATTGATTTTGTTCGCAATTTTTGGCGAACCGTATGCATCAAAAGGTGCCTGTACGGCTCCTAAAGGATACAATTTGATTTTATCCTAACCAACCGACTTTATCGAGAAAGATTGCTTTTTTTAGGCCAAGAGGTTGATAGCGAAATCTCAAATCAACTTATTGGTCTTATGGTATATCTCAGTATAGAGAGTGATACCAAAGATCTTTATTTGTTTATAAACTCTCCTGGCGGATGGGTAATACCTGGAGTGGCTATTTATGATACTATGCAATTTGTGCAACCAGATGTACAGACAATATGCATGGGATTGGCTGCTTCAATGGGATCTTTTATCCTAGTCGGAGGAGAAATTACTAAACGTCTAGCATTCCCTCACGCTTGGCGCCAATGATTTTTTTTGATTTGCAAGAAAAAAAAAGAAGACTATGCCTTCGCCATATGAAATATGAATTAATAAGTAATAATAGCATGGCACTTCGAATTCGATATGAATTTTTTTTTTTCAAAATATTAGATTATGTATCGAAAGAGTAGTATGAGATAAGGGGTATTTCCAATTTTCTCTTAGCTAATTTTATCTTAGTTAGCTATCGGGGGCCCATTTCAGCGTCACAAACTTTTTTTTCACACCGGAAGGCTGCGAATAATATTTATGTTATGAAAAAGTACAAAAAAAGAAACTTTGGGATTGCTGAATCACAGACGAAATAAATATATAAAGCAATAAAGCAACGGGGCCATCATAGTATTTTTTTTAACTCCTCCGAAAAAAGAAGGGTGGTAATTGGATCATTTATTGATCTGGGTCTAATAGACCCTATATTTTCTCTTTCTTCAATGAAAGGTAAAAACGTGAATTCCATTGTAGAGCCGTATGCAATGCACAAGAAATGCCTGTACGGTTGTTCAATTCTCTCTCTTTTTTCTCATTATTTGTTATCTCGCCTCCTCGCTTCATCGGGCGAGATAGAAGAACCATTCTATCATCAGGGTAATGATCCATCAACCCGCTAGTTCTTTTTATGAGGCACAAGTGGGAGAATTTATCCTGGAAGCGGAAGAACTACTGAAACTTCGCGAAACCCTCACAAGGGTTTATGTACAAAGAACGGGCAAGCCCTTATGGGTTGTATCTGAAGACATGGAAAGGGATGTTTTTATGTCAGCAACAGAAGCCCAAGCTTATGGAATTGTTGATCTTGTAGCGGTTCAATAAAAAATAGCATTGATTTCACGTAAATCCACAATTTAAGATTTTAACTTTTTAAGGGTTTAGTTAAATATTCTATTAAACGTTTAATAGAATATTTAATAGAAGTAATTCAGAATCATCCGGTTAGGATCAATCTAAACCAGCCCATTATACATATGATTCAGCATGCCAACTATTAAACAACTTATTAGAAATACAAGACAGCCAATCAGAAATGTCACGAAATCCCCCGCTCTTCGGGGATGTCCTCAGCGCCGAGGAACGTGTACTAGGGTGTATGTGCGACTCGTTCAGATTAGATCATGGCTGAGACAAAAGAAAGGAAACTCTTTTGTCAGTATCAATGATCAGTACCAGTGAATAAAATAGAATGGAGGAATTCCATTCACTATCTAAAAACTAAAAAGGATCGATCTATCATATCCTTCTATTGTGTATCAAACTTATGGTTTCCATTGGTGCAAATCCAATCACCTATATTTTGGAGAAAAAATCCCCCATTGGTAACAAACGGTTATCCATTAAGCGGGGGAAATCCTATTTTTTTTTAATAAACAGAAAGATTATGCTTCTACTCTTGCAAGAACGGACTAACAGGGTCAGCTACCCAACTAATCTTCATAATTAAATACCGTTACTGTATAAAGATAAAGTAGATCTCGTTGTGAAAGACAAGACCTATTACTGGAAAATTCATGGGTAGAGCCAAAGAGTGTGAACTGTACAAGTTACCAATAGTATTGATTAATTGAAGGAAGAGCTCCGGTGTATAGAGAGGACCTCACCGTTTAAGAAGTAACCATAGAAACGATGGAACCCACTATTTATTTATCATTTCGATTTACTACCTTTTTTAGTTATTAGACCTTTTTTGATATCAAGTATCAATACAATTTCTTATTTCAAGGCGAAATGCTTAGAAATAGAAAAGAAAAAAGATAAAATCGTGGGGGGGAAGGTTAGAGCAGCAAAAGCCATTGGAATTTTTATTTTATACATTGGAAGAATCAGTTTTGTTATTAATAGACCAGTAAAGGGGAAAAGAATAACTGAAAGAAAGAATTAGTTATTCATCAAAGTTTCATTTATTCAATGACCAGAATTAAACGCGGATATATAGCTCGGAGACGTAGAACAAAAATTCGTTTATTTGCATCAAGCTTTCGAGGGGCTCATTCACGACTTACTCGAACTATTACTCAACAGAGAATAAGAGCTTTGGTTTCGGCTCATCGGGATAGAGGTAGGAAAAAAAGAGATTTTCGTCGTTTGTGGATCACTCGAATAAATGCAGTAATTCGCGGTGATGGGGTATCCTATAGTTATAATAGATTCATACACAATCTGTACAAGAAGCAGTTGCTTCTTAATCGTAAAATACTTGCACAAATAGCTATATCAAATAGGAGTTGTCTTTATACCATTTCTAATGAAATTCGAAAATAAGGAGATTGGAAGGAATCCATGGAATGTTTTAAATGGAGTTCCGGGGAGAATGAGCTTGGGGAAGGTAGAGTAGAAATTAGTATGATAAAATAGAAAGTCGTCAAAGCAAAATGAGCGAATATGCTCAATAAAAAATAAATGATTCTTCTTCGACGATTCTTTTATTTTCTTTTTTTCTTACGACAGACACGACAATCAAATTTTGATTCTCGGATTTTTCGAACAAAACATTAATATTAATCCGCCCCTGAGTTCGGATTGGAATTTTGATTCAATTCAAGAATAAGCCTATTTATTTCTGGTTCTAAGACCAGTAGTTTTAGTGGTCGACTCACTTCTTTCAAATTGTTTCTCATTATTAAGAAAAGGTAACGAAGATAAAATACGAGCTTGTTTTATAGCAATAGTAATTAATCGTTGTTGTTTTAAGGTCAATCTATTCACCCGCCTAGATAATATTTTTCCTTGTTCACTAATAAATCGACTAATTAAACTCATGTTTCTATAATCAATTCGATCCCCCGATTGAATCGGGGGCAAACGCCTACGAAAAGATCGCTTGGATTTAGTAAAGAGTCGCTTGGATTTATCCATGATTTGTTTATTCCTTATTTCGAAAATCCTATTTCGATTTCGATCGGATTAAAAAAAAAATTATTTATATATTTATATAATTTAGAATTATTTATATATTTATATAATTTATATATATAATTCTAAATTTATCTATATAATTAATAAATATAAATAGGATTTTGTTTGTTTCTATTTATTTATTTGATTTGTTTCTATTTAAATATATGTAATAATATATACCTAATGTTATTTTTTTCATGTTCCTTGGAAAATTGACATACAAGCACTTGATTCGATCTATTTCTTTATCTCCCCGTGAATTGTATGTTTGTAACAATAGGGACAGAATTTCCTCAATTCCAATCGACTGGGCGTATTGTGTCGATTTTTTTGAGTAATATATCTGGAAATGCCCGTTGATTCCTTATTAACACCGTTTCGAACACAACTGGTACATTCCAAAATAATCGTTACTCGGGCATCTTTACCCTTGGCCATAAACCTCCTTTGGATTTTTGATTCACCTCAATCTTCTATTTTCCGATCCAAAGCGAAGAATAAAGGAACGAAAAAAGTAGAAGTTGCTAACTCAAAATCAAATTATGAAATATTTCGTTGGAATCAATATTAATATAGAATATAGAAATTAAATAAAAAATAAAAAAAATAATAATAAGTAATACAATAATTTTTATTTTTTCTAACTATTTTTAGAATTGCTGTACAGTATTTTAGTATCTTGTAGAATACGCTACTGTTGTCCTAGCCACATTTCTGTTTTCGCTTTATTAGAAATTTAGCTCTATTAGTAATTTAATTGGATCCTGAACCCTAGTTTTGCTCAGGTTGAATCCTTTTTTTCTTTCTCTTCCCCCCCCCTTCCTTATTCTACCTAATTCTAAAATAAAAAAAGGGGGGGATTGGTTACAGATATTTGATTGTATCTCTAAATTTCTTAACCCCTTACCATGTCAATAACTAGAATGAAAAAAAGGGGAATGTCAATGCATCTGGAAATAAACGATTAATCTCGATCAATAAACCTGCTAAAGAACCGAACCATAGAGTACTTAGTACCGGTGCTACGGAAAGATATGTTTTTAGATCGCGCATTTAAAATCCTCCTTCTTTCTTCTTTATTGTATTACATTATGGTAATACATATATAATCAGATGTATATGTAGTTAAGGACTACTTGTATACTTGTATTTGTACGCGGAATCCCCAATCCCTAATTCAAAATTCAAATTGAAATGGACAACGATTCGATAGATAAGATTTTCCTTTTCTTAAAACAGAAAAATACGCCCCTTTCCACCTGAAAATAGAATTGAGAGAATTCCCGCGAAAAATATTCATTTCTTATTTATTATATGTTTGTTATATAATATGAGACCAAAAAAAATAAGAAATGAGCAAAGAAATTTTGTATATCAATAGAGAAAATAAGGATGTGGAAAACAAGACAGGGATTCTCTACAATGACACTGTAGACCAATTGAAAGGGATGTAGCGCAGCTTGGTAGCGCGTTTGTTTTGGGTACAAAATGTCACGGGTTCAAATCCTGTCATCCCTACCTATTACTTCTCCTCTGAGCAGTAACGAGGGATCAATTTTAGATCGATTAAATAAAATTCAAATCGGACATACATTATTTTTGAATTTTATGATATTCTATATAATAGTATAGGCGTGCAAAATGTATTGGGGTTAAAAAAAAAAAAAGAATACTCGTCTTTATATTTATAGTCTTATCTATTGTGATAAGAAGGCGCTCTTAGTTCAGTTCGGTAGAACGTGGGTCTCCAAAACCCAATGTCGTAGGTTCAAATCCTACAGAGCGTGATTCCGCTCTTATTTGTTAGGTCGAAAGGAAGGTTGAACTCAAATAATTGAACAGCAATCTGAATCTGAATTTGACCTCCCGCGAATTAAAGAAAGGAGGAGGTCAGTCAAAACAAAAAAAAAAGAGATGTTAATTAATCAAAGGTCCAACTGATCACCACGTCTGTATTGTAAATACGCAGTTACGAATAATCCAGCCAAAGTAATAGGAATTAGACCTAAGACGATTCCAAATAGAAAAACTTCAATCATTTCTAATTTTTTTTTTGAAAGGGGAAAAAGAGAGGTAATATCTATCCCTAAATAGAAATCCGTATTGCCCATGAATTTCAATGACCAATAATTGGTAATTAAGGTAATTACCACGTTAAAGTAAGGAACTATTCGAATATATGGAATACCACAGAAAGATTTTTTTTTTTAATAAACTATTCATTCACTTAATTTCAAATAAGCCGTATCTTGCTTAGACCAATAAATAGAGCTGAGGTTATAGTTAAAGCTGCTAGTAGAAAACCGAAATAACTAGTTATAGTAGGCATGAAGGGGCTAAATGAAATATGTTCTTTTTTTATCCATATGTTTCTAAAGCACTTTCCTAAGTTTCCATTTTTGAAAGAAACGGGGATAAGCAAAAATACCACTTGAAAGAATACAAATTTTCAATTGAAAATTTTTCACTGATCAATTATTAATTATTATAGGCTATTAATTATTATAGGCGGTATTAACAAACATAGAGTAACAGAAGTAGAAAAAGAAATCAATTCAGCATCTGTGACATCTGCCCATCCCGGGCATGATTCCGAATCAACGCAATGGATTCATTGGGAAACTCTTGAGTAAACTAATACTAAAAATAATAAGAACTATGTCATGTAACTTCATTCAAAACATGTAACTTTTTTTGAATGAATATGTAAAAAATTGGAAAATCATTTCTTTGATTCCTTCTTTTTTTTAATTGTTTCGAATCTCTTTTCGATTTTAGAATCAAAAGTGACCTTATCTTATAACCTATAATACCTTTTTTTATTTACTTTTTTACTTTATTAAAATTGAATATGGAATTTACTTTAATTTTAACTCATTAGATTCAATAGTAGAGTAGGTTCATTCACATAATATCTCGAATGAGAAGAAAAAAGGGTATCGCACGATGAGATCACTCAAAAAAATCAAGTCTTTATTTTAACTAGATTTTTGAAATTTTAAATTAAAGTAATTAGGAATTTCTATTATCTTTTCCTTTCTAGATTTTTTGTCTTTCCAGATTATATATCCAGATTTTATATAAAGTATAAAATCCCATCTTTGTAGTTAGGTAAAAAAAAAGACCTTTGGATCTAATACAACAAAACAATGCACGCATTACAATATTGATTAATAGGATTTTTTGATTCGTTCTTCTCTTCCTTTTATCGAGTACTATCCACTACTCTTACTTGTTACTGGACCACTAACTAATTCCTTAAAATGAAAAAAAGGGGGAGGGGATTGCATTACAACGGAAACCAAAAACCTCTTCTACAATTACACAAAGAAACTGAGATTTCTAGATTTTGTATCCAATTGAATTGCGGAAATATTCTAATTTTCTTCATGAATTATTAGAACTCTTGGATTCATATTTTATATAATTTTCAGTTTGTAGTCCGAAACCAATAATGGCAAGAACCCCTATCCGCAGGAATTTGAGGAATTCTCTATTGAATGGTACAATGGTTATACGTCGACAAGCAAGAAAAAAAAAAGAAAGAAATTATCTAGCACTTCATTTCGATACTAATTGAAATTGCGTTGCTGTGTCAGAAGAAGGATAGCTATACTGATTCGGTATACTCTAAAAATACCCTTGGTACAATATTGACGATCTCACAAAGATTCAATTTCAGTGAATTTCCATTTACTGATCTCATCTTTTACAGAATCGATCCCCTAAAGAATATGTGGAGCTCAGCATGTCTGGAAGCACAGGAGAACGTTCTTTTGCTGATATTATTACCAGTATTCGATACTGGGTCATTCATAGCATTACTATACCTTCCCTATTCATTGCGGGTTGGTTATTCGTCAGCACGGGTTTAGCTTACGATGTGTTTGGAAGCCCTCGTCCAAACGAGTATTTTACAGAGAGCCGACAAGGAATTCCATTAATAACTGGCCGTTTTGATTCTTTGGACCAACTCGACGAATTTAGTAGATCTTTTTAGGAGGACCCTATGACCATAGATCGAACCTATCCAATTTTTACAGTACGATGGTTGGCTGTTCATGGATTAGCTGTACCTACCGTTTCTTTTTTGGGGTCAATATCAGCAATGCAGTTCATCCAACGATAAACCTAATTCGAATTATAGAGAGCTATGACACAATCAAACCCGAACGAACAAAATGTTGAATTGAATCGTACCAGTCTATACTGGGGGTTATTACTCATTTTTGTACTTGCTGTTTTATTTTCCAATTATTTCTTCAATTAAGAGAAGAAAAGAGAGTAGTAGAATAATAAAATAACTAATAGTAGGAATTTTCTTATCCCATTCGGAAGGATCACATCTCATAATTATCTATGACTGTTTATGTTTCTAGCATGACCACTTGATGAAATGTGGAGGGAAGCGGGATAGATGGCTGATACTACTGGAAGGATTCCTCTTTGGATAATAGGTACTGTAACTGGTATTCCTGTGATTGGTTTAATAGGTATTTTCTTTTATGGTTCATATTCTGGATTGGGTTCGTCCTTGTAGTAATCGGATGAACTGAGTTGTAGACATGAAAGCATAAGAACTCAACGGGGCCCAACTCTTCTTTCTTTGTCTGATTCGAGGGGAAGGGTCCCGTTGAATTCCTAATAATTATAAGAGTTTGTTCATATAAATGACAAAAAAGAAATCACTTTTTTCGATGTTTCAAAAAAACTCCATTTCCATTTTTTTATATTTCATTGAAGAGGTTCTATTTTCTCAAAAAAATTCCCTCTCTTTTTTTTGTTTGTCCACTACTTTTGCTTAATTATATGTAAATCTAAAAAAATCTAAAAAAAAGTTCTCATAAACTCATAAACCTGAAAAAAAAATATAAACTAAGAATTGGGCACAAGATCGACACAAGAAAGGTATGTGTCAAATTCCCTTTCTTGCGTCGAAGACTAGGAAGACGAATAATACTCCCTATAATTATTTGTTCCCCTCATTTATCCTTCCTTTATTTTCTCCGCTTACTTATCTTATGTTTAGTATCTAGTCGAATTTGATTCTAGTAGAATAGAAAACAAAACTCCTGATTCTTAATACATTCTATGACATTTCAATCTAACAATAGTCACCCCCCACCCTTTCCAATTTAGTTGGATTAAAAAAAGAGCGGGTAAAGTCAGTTGTTCACAATATACATACTATGATTAGGAATGCGGTATAAGTAATTCGTGACATCCGATTCTGGTAGAAAAAAAAAATATATAAACAGGCAAAAGGTTTTTCATAAATTTTTTGATCATACCTAATTGCCAACAAGAATTTGCTTCTTTTTTACGAATTTGATATTGATAAATCCACGGATCTAGAAATTCATTTCGGACAATTGAACCTTCTCAAACTGTTTCTTTTTAAGAACCAAAAAGATTTGTGCCAAAACAACGGATGCCAAAAAGAACAAAAGGCCTTGGACACGTGATGGATCTTGAAGTACTATTTCTGCATCCCCCTGACCAAATCCACCCACATTAGGATTACTCGTTAATGGTTGATCGAGTTTGATGGATTCGCCCTCGGAAACAAGAAGTTCTGGTCCTGGGGGGATAATATCAACCACTTGACGTCCATCCGATGCATCCACTATGGTTATTTCGTATCCCCCCTTTTCTTTTCGTAAAATTTTGCTTACTATACCCGCTGCTGTAGCATTATAAACTGTATTGTTACTTTTTCTCCCGTCAGGATAAATCTGACCCCTTCCCCTGTTCCCGCCTACATATATGGGATATTTTAAGAAGTGAACATCTTTATTAGTAGCGGGGTCTGGGGAAAGAATAGGAAAGGTGATTTCACTATATTTCTGACCCGGAACAGGACCTATTACAAGAATCTTTTTTTGAGTAGGGCGATAATTCTGAAAAGACAGATTGCCTATCTTTTCTTTCATCTCAGGCGAAATGCGATCGGGGGGAGCTAATTCAAAACCCTCCGGTAAAATAAGAACAGCTCCCACATTCAAACCCCCCTTTTTACCATTAGCAAGAACTTGTTTCAGTTGCATATCATAAGGAATTCTAACAACTGCTTCAAATACAGTATCAGGAAGTACCGCTTGTGGAACTTCAATATCCACGGGCTTATTAGCTAAATGGCAATTGGCACATACAATACGCCCTGTTGCTTCTCGTGGATTTTCATAACCCTGCTGCGCAAAAATGGGATATGCATTTGAAATGGATGCCCAAGTTATTATATATATCATGAGTGATACGGAAATGGATCGAGTAATCTCTTCCTTTATCCAAGAAAGGGTATTTCTAGTTTGCATGGTCCAATGATTGATCCCGAAAATTTCTACAATAAAATTTGGTAGGTCGCTAGTATAGTTCCCTATCCACAATTCTGCTATTTACATTTACTGAAAGAATTTTATTGGAATATATAGGAGAATCCCCCCGTGGGTAGAAAGAGTAAAGTAAATACGACTTTGAATGCTTTGTTTATGTACAAAGTAAGAAACATTAGAATTGGATCAGTGAATTTTTTTTCAGTCATTTATTGAATGATAAATCACTACAAGTGATGGAGATACACGATTTAAATACCGGAAGATCCAATATTTAAAAATTGTATCTAGAATGACTGGAAAGGTGGAAACAAGACCAGATATAATTTGATCGTTATGAGCAAATCCAAAATCTTTGTAAATATAACCAATCATTAGTTCCCAACCGTGAGGCGAATGGAATCCGATACATAAATCAGTTAATAAAAGAATAGAAAAAGCTTTGATTGTGTCGCTTAAATTATATAGGAATTCTTGAACCCAAGAGTTAATAATAAGAAGTTCTTCATTACCCAGAATAGAATAACCACTTAGAATAACAAAACAGAGTATATTTGTCGAGAAGTGCAAAATTGTATGGATACGATCTTCATTGTACATCTGGATGAATTGGATCGTTTCTTTGTGGATTCCTATACGAAGCTTTTGTAAATGGGTTTCCGGGTCTTCCTTTATCATTTCATCCAACAGGAAGAGTTCCTCTAATTGTATGAATTTTTCTAGAAGACTCTTTTCTTGAATATCATTCAAAAAAGTTTCGGATTGCCGAGTATTCCACGAATTAGTAATCCAAGTTTTCAGACTTTTATTACACGAGAGAGAGATCCACCAGGGCAAAAATACTATAGATGCAAGATATAGAAAAGGAATGAATGCTTTCTTTTTTGCCATTTTTCATCTGTGAATTTTTAATGAACCTACCTCATTTGTTGACTCTATGCGATCTAATATTTATATCAAGCATGAGTTCTATTATAATATAACTATCGAGCCTATGAATCTATTCTTTGTTTTTTTATTTGTGATTCAATGGTTAGTCTTTGAATCTAGAAAGAATACAGAAATAGACTAAGAACAAGAATGAACTTCGAATTCCAATGAAGAAATAATAAAAAAAATATTGTTTTCAGGTTCGAAGCACTTCTTTCGATGAATGCCCAAAAGAACCACTTCAAATAATGAATATTATTCGGATTTCGAGACGAAAGAACTTCCTTTCTATCAAATATGTCGAAAAAAGTGGTTTGCTACCTATACTATAATACGGAAATAATTGAGAGAAATTTATGAAGAATATTGTGATGATAAAAAATGAGTGGCAAAAAACAGACAGAAAAGTTTTCGTTATAAGAAAGAGATACAATTCTTTGGTCATTAAATTAAGGAGCACAAAAGAAAGGCTGAAGGGTCAATTGAGAAAATAAAGTAGAGATAATTTACAAGATAGAATCGATCTGTATCTAACGTCTAACGTATCAATTCCAAATATTGAAAATAAAAAGATAAATTCTTTATTTCGAAACGCTTTAATATATGAGATGAATCATTATTTCGATTTGTTACTTGTTTTGTTACTCCATTGGGTTGAATGGATTTGCATACGCATAAAAAACTCTTTTTGCGGACAAAAAAACTATTTTTGTCCGCAAAAAGAAAATAGTATAGTTTCGTTTTATGCTCTTATTAGAACTATTCCGTATACATCTGCTTTCACTTGACTGGGCATTCTGAAGAAACTTGAGTTAAGTTATGCTATAGAAAAAAAAAATTCTTGAGTTTTTGACTCCTGCTGCTAAAGCATTTAGTCTTCAGTTTTTTTTTTTCAAAATACTTCAATTGGTACACGCAAGAAATAGGCCAATTCAGCAGCTTTTTGCTCAATTTCTCGTGTAGTGAAATTCTCATCAGTACGAGTTAAAGGAATAGCCCCCCGGCCTCTGATGTCCATATAAAGGACACGACGAGCATAAATACCTTCTTTAACTTCTATTCTGATGGACTGAATATCTTTCATAAAGAGTCGTAAAAAGATGCGACGATTTTTTCCAGGAAATCCCCAACGAAAAATAGACACTATTCCTTCTTTTCTATCGAATCGATCATAACCACTACCTACATTCCACAAAATTGTGGACCACAAATAGGAACTAATAAAGAGACCCGCGATCCCATAGAAAGACATCACAATCCCTTGCGGAAAAAAAACTATTTGCTGAGACGGAAATAAAGATATCAAATTCCTACCAAGATAACTGGAAGTTCCAACCAATAAGAATCCTAATGAACCTAAAAAAAGGATAAAGGCCCAGCAGAAATTACTTGTTTTTCGAGACCCCGCTATAAATTCTATCCATATAGATTCTGATCGCCAACTCATACATATTAGATCCAGTTGCATTTTATTGGAATTGAGAGAATAACCAAAAGTTTACTTTACTTTTTTTTGTTTCCGAAGTAACTCTCATCAACTAGCACTATTTTGATGTGAACCTTTAGGGGTAATTCATAGAATTAGTTAGATCTAACATCCCCTTCATATATCCACTATAGATATATACAGACATATAGATACATTGACTTTAATTTCATACATCCGCCCGATCGCGATCTATTTTTGAAAATAGCTATAATTCATTTACCCATATATCATGTTTACGCATGCATAAGAGCTTTTTTTCATTTATATTCGGAGTAATCTACATGTTATACAATATTCTACTAAATAGATATCTGTGTTGTCTAAGTCTTGAAAATGAAAAAAAAATAGATGAGATTTTGTCTCATCAGATCTAAACAATCTTATTTTTTTGAACATGAAGAGATAAAGAAGCCATTGCAATTGCCGGAAATACTAGGCCCACTAAAGGCACAAAAATAGAGGGTAAGTTTGTCATAGAATGGATACCTCAATTTCATATTTGTACCTGTTATTGTTATATTCTTAATTCTAAAGATATCTTATCTTATAATAATTCGAATTTGTATATTATATATAAGTATATCTAAGTGAATATATATATATCTAATAGGTACAAGAAATGTAGAACTAAATAAATGGACTTATTCATCTTTATAAATGAAATAGATGTATAATAATCCACTTTTTTGATTATTTATTATTATTATTATTCTATTGTTCCTTTTTGTCTTCTAATTTGAATTAATAAAGAA